CAGGAAACAAAAGGAAAAGTCGAAATGTTGAAAGCAACCTAAAACAATTCTGGTGACCACGTATCATGTGTCACCTTCTTAGTAAAATAATCATAGTAATTACAACATTATTTTAATAGTGCTGTATTAGTAGAGTAGCAAGCTGTACGTACAGCATGATTCTAAGTAAAAATATGCTATTGAAGAACATTATCCTAGTAAAACCAAATTAACTCTGAAACACTAACAGAAGGTTGTAAGAAAAAGATGTGACATTTCAGAAACACACCCAGTAATTTAGCATTTACTCATTCCCACACAGTATTAGCAGATTAACTTCACACTCTGTAAGGGCTAATCTGGGAGGGGAAAAAAGTCTAGGAATGGTTTAACTGGCATGAAAAATGCTGCAGAGGAATACTACAGCTTCTGTAGCTGAAAATATAGCCCTCTTCAGAGACTAAACAGAGTGTGTGCGGGGAAGGAGAAGCAGAGGGGCAGGTGGGCAGAAGAAATAGAAGAACGGGAAAGATACAATTAGACCCTGCCTAAACTGTTTTCGGAACCACTATATACTGCATTTAAACAGCCAAGAAGAAGGGAAGGAAACACTAATTGGAGCATAGCTGTGGCATTGTCTGCCAACGACCATCCTGTCTATGCTGAGGAATCTATGTTTCTACAGACATTTCTCAAGAGCCAAACTACTCCTGAGCTATTTGTGAAAAGAAAGGACTTATAAAAATCAATACCAAAAAGAGGAACGTAGCCTAAAGCATATGAATAAGCATGAATAAAAGGGGGATTTTAAATGTTTTGTTAGAACACAATTTCATATGATGAACTCAAAGATTTTCCATCATAAATCTACCCTCTATTTGTTACACTGTACCACAGTAAGGCAATTTTTGTACTATGACTCCTAACCACACTGTCCAGATTCTGTTCAATTCAATTATAAAAATATAAGGTAGCTTAATAAGGTATTTGATCAAAAGACAGATATGAGCTCAAATACCTGCATTAGTTTATTCGGAGCAACTATCTAAGATTTTTAGCAAAGGGGCAGCTTGACAAGGGTTTTGTATGAAGTGGTTCATAACTCCAAGGCCCCTTTATCACAATACAAATGGCAATAAACAAACAGTAGTTGCAATACGTCAGCAGCACAGAGCACTCTGCACTCAGCTGGAATCAAATGGATGTGTCTGTACAGACGTATCCACTTCCTTTGCTCATGCAATTGCTGCTTTTTAAATACAGCACTCGCTGCTACTGTGGGTTTTTAGACGGCTCTTTAGACAAGCAGAAATATTATCTGCACACTTCTTGATGGAAATACTTGGAAAAAAAATTAGTGTTAAGGGATTATACAGGGGTTAAATGGAGTTTAGCTTTAACAGAGAAAGATTTCTATCACAGCTTCCTTTTGAACTACAAAAGTAACGATATGCAGTGTTCACATGAAACTACATTTTCTTACATGGGCTATTTTGTTCTATCAATTGCTTTTCTTTAGTCTAATATACTCTGAAGTATACTGAAAGGTTTGGGGGTTTTGTTTTGTTTGTTTGTTTAATAGAACTCCAAATAGTTAAACCTTTACCTGAATAAGTTAAGAGTTTAACTTCATCAACTCCAGGTTTTATCTTTTTATTATCAAGAGTTTAGAACATAACTAAAAATTCACCTCTTTGTGACAGAAGAGCACTAGGAATAAAAAGAGAATAAAACCCCCACAAAATTACTGAGTTAAAACAATCATTCTGTTTGTTAAAGACAAGGAAGAAAAAAAAAAATCCAACAAGCCAGCCCAAAACAACCCAGCTCACACTAAACACAGGTGAAGATTCTGCTGCTATATAAAAATATATTTTGATTACTTAGCATTTCAAGGTTATCCTGTGTAGTCTTCTGTAACAGACAGCCACCTTAATGAGCTGTTTAGGTTTATCACCAACAACAATTATTCACATCAAACGAAGCTGACAAGGTTAGCAGGGATTTTTTGGGGGTGAGTGGTTTTGGAAGGTTTGGGTGGGGGAGTGTTTTTTGGGCTTGGTTTGGGTTTTTTTTAAACAAGCCCCACCGAAAATAAAACCTAGGCACTGTAATCCTACTGAGGGCTACACAATTCTGCTCAGGAATCTTTAAATCAATCCATTAACGCCCTGTACAGTGTTCTCAGCAAAGAGAAGCCATACAATCCCTTGACCCACTGCTGCGTTTCATGTGTCAGGGTAGGGAGGCAAGGAGGGAAAGAAGATAAATCACCTTTAAGACTGGAAAATTTGGAGAGAAAGACACATATAAAGTATTGTTTGTTAAACTTCCCAATGATGAAAAAATTCACTTACTGCACCTGATTTAGTAGGTGCCCAATTAATTTAAGAGAAACACTGGATTTATATTCTGCTTATGTATATAAACAGAAGATGTTTCAACTCAGCAGATTTAAAAAAAAAAGGAAAATCAGAAAAATATAATAGAACATAGAAGTTGTAAAATAAGACTGTCAAAGACTTAAGAGACAAAAAATGATTGCATGAGTTGGAAAACTAAAACTTCTGTTTTCTAGATAGAAAGAAATAGAAAACTTCCATTTTCTAGACAGGTAAAGAGTTGCATCAGATCAGACACCTCCTTACAGCTCAGCTAAATAGGAATGAGAAGTTCTTCACACTGCGTCACCACTTCCAACAAAACACAAAGCAGAAACAAACCAAAAAATAACATATTCCCGAAACTGTATTTTAACTCCTAAGTTCTGGTATCTCGAAGGCAAAAGTAATTTTGATTATAGAAATTCAGTATCAAGACACTTTTCTTCCTACGCAGTCTGACCGTGTCCTTGCAAAACGGCCGTCAAAATGCCATTTGACAAACTGTTGTAAAACAGCACTGTAAAGCTAACGTGGATTACAACTGGCAGTGTACTGTGACGTATTTTTTAAAATGAGAATCTCAAATGACAATGAAAGGTACCTCTGTAGCCCATTATGATTTATCTACCAAGTTTATGATTCTGCAAATCCATGAAATGCATTCTTCTAAATACTTAATACTTCGATTTAAACTAGTCCTCCCATGTACTTCAAATTAGAATTATTCTTTTATAGGAAAACCGTTTCTCTAAACAAGATCTTATCCTTTCTTTTTTCCTAGTCCATTTCACTATGACTGTTCAAAAGTAAACTATAAAGTTTCAACAGTTTCAAATTCCCCCAACAAACTCCTTTCTGTTAAAGGTGTATCATGCAGAACTGTTGACATATACATACTAGTACTAAGAAATAGCCTATTAACTCCTGTCCACAGCTAAATTATATAGGCTTTATTACTTCAAATTTGTCCATGTCACCACCTCCCTCCCACATGTTTTTAATCTTCTCCTAAAAGTTGTTTTTTAAAAAGTAGCAGCTTAAAAATAGATTAGGGCCAACCTTTTTGTGTCCTTTTTTATAATACTAGATTTCCTCCTTACCATATGTAGAATTCCAGATTAAGCTTGCTTCGTTTTAGGCTAGATTCATATTTTCACTATCAATTAACACTGTAAATTAATTTTTACGTTTGTGCTTCTTTTTCCTTTTAAAATCTGCAGATCTTTTTGAAGCTTTTTGGAGAAGTGACTAGTTATTTTTCACTCTTTGTGTGCCCTGGCAGTAGTATTCCCTGTTACATCTTGATCTTTGCTTTTAATACCAAAATTTTTGACTGTTTTTAATACCCTGTGCTTTAGGTAGTTATTACTTAACTGGAGTTTTTTTGGAAAGCCTTCCTCCGTTGTAAGTTAACGTAAGCAAACTTTAAATTATCAACTACTTTCCACTGTGAATTCCAGAGTTACATGTCAAACATCTGGTAACAGTTGTCATCGATTATCTTACCAAGCCTGGTACCAAAAGCCTTAAATATTTTAACCATTTTACGACATAAAAGGAATAGTGGCAGGAGGTTAATAGGAACTGACCTATTCTAGTGTAAATGTCTGTCTAACTGTTGAGGGGTTTTGATAGCTGATTTTCACCCAGTTTAACTGGTTCTTGAAAAAGGAGATTACAGGCATTCTAAGTCAACTTTAATCAGTTAAACAACTAACCTTTTGCTCTGTTTGCAGTTGGTCACATCTCTGCTTTTCATGGTTAAGTTCTTTTTCGAGTCTTTCAACTTGATCTCTGAGTTGTGTGGTTTCCTTTTCCAGAACAGAAGTTACCTTTAACAGCTCTTCTTTTTCCTTTATTATTTTTTCAATTTTAAACTGTAAAAACAAAAACATTGTTTTCTTACAATTTTTCTCCCTTTCATGCCTACGAAATAAGTGGATAATATTACTCCAGTGTTTGAGCAGAAGCACAAAATCTGTCTTCTGTTTAGGTTTTTTTATTTTCCCCTTATTCCCAAGTTTCTGAAGGGTCATTGCCTTAACTGAGTTGTACTACATTACCATTAGACAACACACTTCGCAGCATCTTGATTTATACTGAAGTTTTCCCTCCTCAAGTGAAGTGACTTTACTGTTCCCAAGTGACAGCAACTATGGAGGAGCTAATTATGATGATGACAGCTTGGTGAATAAACAGCTGTTGAGTGCAGAAACACATACTCTAAAGCGACGTTTGAGGAACTTCACCAAAAGAAAATGAACACACACATAGCCAAAAGGAAGGACTGGCACGTGAATTGTGGCTTTTCGATACTTAAAGGAGGCTTATGAGAAAGACAGGGATGGACGTTTTAGTAGGGCCTGTAGCAATAGGACAAGGGGCAACGGTTTTAAACTAAAAAAGTGGTAGATTCAGACTAGATATAAGGAAGAAAAGTTTTCAGAATGAGGGCAGTGAAACAATGGAACAGGTTGCCCTGATAGGTGGCAGATGCTCCACTCCTGGAAACATTCAAGGTCATTTCGGATGGGGCTTTGAGCAACCTGATCTAGTTGAAGATTTCTCTGCTCACTGCAGGGGGGTTGGGCTAGGTGACCTTTAAAGGTCCCTTCCGACCCACACCATTCTACAATTCTATGAAGAAAGATAATCAAAAAGGTTTGAAAAAATATTTTTCTTTAGTACCAGGAGTACGTATCTGAAAGGCAAAGATATCCTGATGTATCTCTATACTGTCTCCTATCCCTAAATTTTGAAAACTGTAGATTGAATACACATGCATGTATATGCCTAAATGCAACTGACAAAAGGATAAAACATCTGACGGCAAGGTAAGGAAACCGTACTAAGCAATTTTCCAATAAGCAACCCAGCATCAAGTTTGTTTGGTTCTGTTGGGGGTTTATTTTTGTCTGGGATTTTTGGGGAGTTTGGATGGGGTGTAGGCCTAGGTTGTGGTTTATTTTTAAGTAGTTTTCAGCCTACAAATTATCAACAAGCAAATGGAAACACCCTGACTCTGGATGTAAGCGCACAAGTCTAATCACATCCATCTAGCAAAGAACATGGCACAGAGAACACTGCTTTAAATAAAACAAGAGCTATTCTAACACAATTAGACACCAGCAATTATTCAACTTCATTTCTAAGGCTCTTCACTCGTGCACAAATAAAAGTATACTTTTTTTTCCTCCTTACAATGAGCACCATTTCACACAAAGGTACCTTTCTCCAGTTAGTTGGAGAGTACAGATGGGAGATACGGGCAACTATCTGCTCTCCTATGATTCCCAGTCTATGTTTAGTGCTATAGCATACCTGTAATCAGTTTAAAATCTTTACTCATTTAAGCCGCAAATATCCTAAACTCCAATCAAATACTGGAGAACAAGCCAGAAATATGTACATTACACTTAAATATGTAGGATTTTTGCTCCTGGTTTGTTCTTCAATACTATAACCTGTGAGTGCATGTATATATATAAAAGATAAATACGAAGATAACATCATAAGAATTGTTGAATCAAACCTCAAGAAGTCCAGCTTTTGTGGTCACCACTAACATATCAGAGTTTCCTTCGTCTTCCATAGTGAGCAATTCTTCAACAGGGGAAGAAGTACGAAATTGGAAAGGTGTGCTTGCTCCACGGATTTCTCCTTTATGAGTCACATAACAGAACTGGTAAAATTCTCCATCATCGTTTGGTAGATAATATCCTATCAAAATAAATCAATATTTGAAAAAACATTCTACAAAGTCTCCATCTGGAAACAGATTATGAGATACTGTTGGACTTAGGAATTTTCTGTTAAATACCTCAGTAAGGCACATAAATTATTAAAAGCAGAAAGGAAAAGTCATCCTATATAGTAACTTTCATCCCCCAACCATTTCTCCTAGCTTTTATGACAAACACCAAAACAGTGTCAGGTAACAGGTGCTACACGTACACATCACCTTACACACCATTAGGCAATAGCTGCTGTTTATATTTATGAAACAGAATTATTAGCAATGAGATGCCCTGAAGCTGGATCAGGGCCACATTGTTATCTAACTGTTGTATGATCACAGTACAAAGAGTAAGCAATTTCTTGGCCTTGAAATACAACCAAAGACAACAGACAGAATAACGTGAAATGACAAGCTCTCTGCAGCTTTATCATGTTCAATTTTTTTGCATATTTTCAGGGGAGTAACCACAATTTACTTTCGCTATTTTAAAATGTCAAAGCATGGGAATGCTCTGAATGGACGACACAATGCTAACCAGCTGCAAGTATGGAGGGGGCAGGGGGAGGGATTTTTAAAAAGAGCTTATTTTTCAAAACTGAAAAAAAATTCTTCTAGACTTTGCAAAGTAAGAATAAATCATCTTTCTTGTATCTATGTAATACTGCATGCTGCTAAAAAAATATTTCAGAAGAATTTCTGACTATTCAGCTGAACGGCTGCCCAGTAACACTTTAACATCGAGCCTCTCGCATCACCTGGTTTCACATGTTAGTGTATGCGGATGTTAAACAATCCTTTCCAGAACTAATGAGAACTAAATGCAAGAAACCAAGCCTTACCCAGTTTAATGGTTAAAAAAATTCAGAACACTTAATTATCAGATATCCTAAGCCAACTTGGGTATGATACTAGCATAATAAACCCTCGCCTGATGTTCAGTCCAGAAGGTTATTTCACCAGAACTCAATCTGCTCCCTTTCTAACATCATTAATTTCTGTTCACCAACCTGTATTCCAGGCTCCTGCAAGACTTTTCCTGGTACTCTTAGCTATTTCTACAAATGGTAAAACATCACACATGCTAGGCGGACAGCACTTGTACTAAGCACTTCACGTTTCCATGAGTCTTACACTTTATTAACTGTAGCTCAGGAAGTAGTATCTTTATTTCAAAACCACAAGATTCTGTGCTTTTGGACCTGACTATACTTTCCTATGGCATACTGCAGTTCAATTTACCTGATTCAATGCTTAATTAAGGTGACATTGCGCAGAAACAAATTCAAAACAATTAATTCACAGCTCCAGCTTGTTTTAATATTGGTTCAGGCAAATTGATTTTAAAACTACTTAAAGTCTTTTTTTTCTTGTATCTAACATGTACTGGAGAGAAGAACTCCTGATTATTTTGTTCCAGCACACCTACTTGATCTTAAAAAAAAAAAATATTTAAAGCATGCTGCACAATATTTACTATTTATCTCAGCTAATTAAGCTCCTGTAAGCTCTACTGATCTCATCTCAGCAGCACTAAAATATCTTGCCAAACACAACTAAGAGACTGTCTGAATGAAGATTAAATTTGGCAGCTCTATAAAAGTGGCAGACTGTCAGCATGGAATGTAACAGATGGGTCTCTTCGTGTGTGGTAAAACTCCTAAGTGCAAAGGACTGATAACGGCATGTAGAGTCCTAGGTTTCTAGGTCACTTAGAATTTCAGTCCAACCCAATTTCATTCAGTGAATTTTGGTAAAAGAAACCAACAACTTCTTTCCAGTTCCTACAGAGCACCTGTACTTTTCACAGATTTCAAGTGGTCAGATCACATGATCATCATTGACAGCACCAGAAAAAAATTACTTGGAGTAAGAGAAAGAACAGTGAACTCATCCAAGCTATCACTATCTGCAGCTTTAACAAGGCAACAAGCTAACACAGAAGTCATTTCAGGACTTCAATTATTATTTTTCTATATATTTTAAGCAATAAATACACACACAAAGACTAAAGCCAACTGTGGGAAGTAAAAAAAGAACATAAGATGGCACATAAAATTCTGTTAGTAAGCAGGAGAGCACTGAACAAGTTTAGTGGAGGCACTCTTTTTACATTATACACATTTCTGACATTTGTAGTGTTCTGGGGCAAGAAGTTCTGCACATTAACTGTGTTATACAAGTATCAACTCTATCTCCATTTAGAATCTGTCACTTGGTAGCTTACATCAATGGATCCTACTTTGTTAAATAGGAACAATAGATAATCCACTCATGCCATAGGTAGCTGATTTTAGTGACATCTGTCACTTCCGATTATTTCTCTTTCCCAGGCTGAAAAACCTGGCAGAAAGAAGTTCTGGAGGTCACTCAGTCAAACTTTCCACTCAGTGACTTACCAGCACCAGTCTGAGACTGCCATGGCTGTGTCTAATCAAGCGTGTGGAATTCTCATCCTTCCAAAGCAGGGATATCTGTTCAAGTGCTGGACTACTCCCTCTCAGTAAAAAAGTTATTCCTAACGCCAGATGTAAACCCCACAGACCACAGTCTATGGCCACTGTCTCTCTTCATATTTAACGAGAGGAGCATGGCTCTGCCATCTTCATAACTTCACACCTTTACACAGAAGCTACTTCTTAATTTTGTTCTTTCTTTTCTTAAAAACTTCAGTCATCAATTCCTCACCATCATATGTCCTCTGCTACTCTCACAACTCCGAAACTTCAGCAAACTGCCATCTACAGTATTTATTCTCTCACAAGGATCTCTTTACATCGAGAATGATGTTTAAAGTCCAGAGACTAAAGACAATGTAAAGACACAATGTGTTAAGAGACGCCAAGATTAAAAAACGATGCCAATTAAACAAAGCCATTTTCTGTATTTGAACAGTTTCCAGCAGAGCTTCTATCAGTCATTAATAGTCTGTTACTATGTAAAAACATACCAAGTCACATACTTGCCCTTACAATTTCCTTGACATCTAAAATGAGACTGAACTTCACACAGTGAAGTGTGGAAAACTCTTCTCCAATTTATGCTTGTAGAAGTCTAGAACGGTTACACAGCCCTCAGGACTGTCATGAGCAGATAAATATTTTAAAGCCTGTGTAGGCTGGAAAATACAGGTAGAGAGTGCTTTATATTCACCTTGAAAAGTCAGCACACAGTTAACAGTTGATCCTTCCACATAATTTTCTGGCATTGGGGACCAAAGAAATGTGTAATAATCTCTTGCTGTACTCCAACCAACCTAAAATAAAATAAACCACAACAAGAAGAGAAAACATTAAGCAGAAGAATTTGTTATGCAGTTAAGATACCATAGTCTGGCCTTTACAACATACTGTAATATGCATATTTCTGCTTCGACATGCAATAAAAAGATACTTAACAATGTTTACAAATCAAGAATATTTTAACAAGCATGTCAAAGATTTAGCATGAATTTTATTAAGCTTGTTACCTAAGGCAATAAATGGGTCTAACACAATAAACAGGTCTATATAAATTAAAACACAAGACAGTTTTAAACTACTGTTTGGAACATTTATTTTTTTCTATAAAGACACATGTTAGTATATTAAAAACACAAAAAGATTAATTCTGAAGTTTATAGTGAGGTTTTCTTAGCTTAAGTACTTCCAATGCCGACTGTTTTGTGTCCACAAGGCAACAAGTTCATCAGAAAACAAAAAGGAGGAACGAAACAACAGATATCTCTTCTACTGAAAAGGCCAAATTTGAGAGGGCTAAACTAGCACTGTTTGGACAAATTCTGCAATATTGAAGACCAGCATTTCACTGGAATGCTAATTCTTCCATACATACAAGCTACATCTGCAAGGAAAAAAAATTTTGCCCAAAAACCTAACTCAGCTAAATTGGTTCAGTCTTCCCACTAACTTCAATAAATATCTTTCAGACTTTAACCATGAGTGCAGCTCTGTGCAGTAAGAAATGCTATCCTCTTAAGAAATATATTCCAACAAGCTTGAAATACATGCTTCCAAACCTGAAACTACTGTAAAGCAGTGGATATTAATAACAGCATAATGGTAACAGAGAAGAACAATAGATATGTTTGATTTCACTGACTTAAAAAAAAATACCAAAAACCTTGTCAAAATCTAGATGTAGTATGATTTATCAGTAATTGGGTGTACGGTCTTGAAGACAGTGATGACAAAAGGGGGCAAGTTGCCTATCAATTTCTATCAGGTAAGACAGCATTTCAAGAGACCAGGTGCTGGGGGGGGAGGAATCCAGGGAATCCAGAAAAAAACCCAACCAAAAAAGGATGAAGTTATCAATCATGATTTCATACAGATAAAACTTCTAAAACTAAGTTCATACCAAACCCTCCTTAAGAAAGGATACATTGCAACATTATTTTAAAAGCATTAAGAACTGGGTTTTAAGTGTTGCCACCCTTAAGAAAAAAGAAAACGTTTAGACTGACAAAGAACAGCAGAACTGTTTCTAAGCAGGTGCCATATTTTCAAGGGTTACTGGTAAAGAGAGCTGTGACACATCAAGAGCTAGTGGGCAACACCCTGGGAAATTTACCCTGCACGTATTTTCTCCATCAGTTCCCCCTCCTTCATGTCACCTACCATCTGATTCGCTCACCGAAGTTCCTCGTCTTACACTCTAATGATCCTGAGAATCCATTTATTTCTTAATGGGCCACATCCAAGTTCTCAGAAGGTATGGACTACCCAGTGGCTCTTTTCACTGCATAGGATTTCAGATGAGGGTCTTCCCCTGCACACCTCGAAACGTGACAATGCAGAGGAGGAAATACAAACAAATCCCATCCTCCTGGCAGTTGCATGCATTTAAAAAGGGGAAGTTTGTGTACTCTGCAGCAAAGCAAGTTACCTTAGCAACATTATTCAACATCTTTCCTACTTAACAGCGATTATCATTGACCTCCATAGGATTATTTCTTAGAAACAAGGAGCAAAAGCAAAGCAATGATATGCTGAGAACAAAATTAAAAGAAAAGTAATGGATATTATAGGTCTAGGATCTAGATCTTAAAGTTTTCATTAAAACCTGCTGACAGATTTTATTTTATTATTTTACTACTTTATAGCTTTTGACAACATTCTCTTTACTAAGCCTAGGTTGAATACACAGTGGTCGAGAAATACAAAATACTCCTACAGAGTCATAACCACCTCTATGGCAACAGATATAAGACTATAAACACACACTGGATGACTCAGCAACGATCTAAATGTGACCTTTGACAAAGGTATTTCTTTCAGCTCAGAAGGAAAACCAATAGTTGCCTAAAAATAAGGTTGAAAGCATATAAAGAAATTTTAAGACTGCTTAAAGCAATGGAAATAAAAACTGAGATAAACAAAAACTAGTGGCAAAAGCTACAGAGGAAATAAACAAAAACATGAAAATGACTAACAAGACAGGAATACTTGTCAATAGTCCCACAATGATTTTCTATGAAAAACAAAACACTGTAGCTCTGGAAACAAAATGAACAAGCATCCTCATCATCTTCAGGTCCAGTAGCTTGGAAAAAATACCTTCATTTTAATGAAGGAATCAGAAAAGCTGGACCATTGCTCTGACCAACAGTAAAAGAAACAACACCTTATTACAAATATAGACTACCTTCCAGGTTACTCTCCGGAGGGGAAAGAGGAGTCCAGATCCCCCACAAGAATCATTTGCTGTGAAGACGTTACCTGCACCACACGGACAGGAGAAAAATTGCTACTTAAGGCACATGTTCACATAAGGTGGTTGTGTTATCTTTGTTGGCAGGGGTTTGTTCAGGTTGTTTTGTCTCCATTGACAAGACCACTGCAGCAACTGGCCCATAGAATTATGCTTGGGACATACTGAAAGAGGGCAAGTTGAAGCTTTTCTCTTAAACATAAGAATTTGTGCTTTGTACATATTCCTGGTAATAGTGCAGGATTTAAGAAATCAGATAATTCAACAGGTAGGTGTGGTTAAATAAACTTAACATGGAGTAAATACTATCAATCAGTAGTGTACACAGGATAAAGACTGAGAGGACATTTTAAAAAAATGAATGTATTTAGTTATTGTGTACGTTTTTAAAAAACGTAAAAACAAAAAAATGTTGCATACTGTAGTTCTTGAGAGCTATAGAAATTAGAGGTAGCAATACCTGAGCACAGACTAAAGACTTCCCTCACCAGCATATTCCTTAATTTCAAACTTCAAAAAATCAAAGGAAAGCTTTGTTTTATTAAAAGCAGATAAATTAACCCTAGTCTTCCATTTTCAGAAGTATTTTCCCCATAGCACTATGTCCAAGTAGCAGCTAATGGTTATCCTGCCACCTCACAAAACTTTTTGCAGTTGATGGTTGGGGTGATGGGGCTCCTTCGACCCTACCACAGTTGGACTGAAACAGCAGGAACACAGAATCTACTCTGTGGAAAAAATCCAATCCTGTATCTATTTTGATTATTCATACATCCAAGCTTATTTATACAGGACTCTCCAAGAAAAATCACAGAGCAGTTAACAGTAGAATAAAAATTTCAAATGCAGACTTTATGTTAGAACTGGAAATTACTCTGAAAAGCAGAAGCAGATAAATTCTCCAATATTTGGGAAGCCCTCAGCACAAAAATAGAAGGAAGCAGGGCTGCTTCTTTACTTTGTGTCCAGACTCTCTCTAGTACTCTGCTGAAACATCAGTGCATGTTAAAAAGCAAATACAGATGCTATTTAAATACTCCACAGAAGTTTTATCACAAATTTGTGTCTATTAGTCTTTTTTCAATTCATTCAAATTCTAGTTGCTGAAAAGTTTAAAAACAAGCAAACAATACCCTAACACTTTTAGACTGAAGTAGAAAACAGAAATAAGTGGTTAATTATTTACTATCATCTTACAGTATTATTTCTATTACAAAACAAAACAAAAAAAAGTGGAAAAATAACAGCACTGGCATGACACACCAGAAAACAAGGACAGAGAAAGTGCAGTCTTCTGCTGTTATCAGACAAAAATGTCCAGAGCTGTAAGAACCGGAGTTTGACCATTTCACCTGCCAAAACAGCTGATATGACTAACAGTGAGTACCTGTATTCAAGAAAACATTACTGAAAACACACAAATGCTTGCAAGAAAGATTCATAGATTTCATGTCTGCATTTGAACATCAGTAATAATTAAAAAGTCACTGAGAGAAATTGTCATTATAAAAATATATTTAAAATCAAATCTTCTATTACATAATTTTGGGGTTTTGTCTGCATTTACTGATGAAGTTCTAAAAATTTATGATCTAACTACTCAAGCTACAAGCATATTTATTTACATTAATAATGAGAACTTAAAAGCTGTTAAACTGGAAATGAGGCAAAATGTGTGGAAATCCACACTTAATTCCTCTTTTGGCTTCAGCGCAGTTACAGTCCTGTTTTGCAATGAAGGATATATTCTGATGTACTAAGATGTGAAACCACAGTTCAAAAAAACCCAACACTTTCATTAGAATGCCAATTAAAATAGCATACAAAGAAGCCAGATACAAATACTTTTATAATATGCTTTTTCCTTTTTAACTGATACTGTTAACTGGAAAAGCATTTGACTCAAAAAAAAAAAAGAGGTCCTATAAATTTAGAGTAAGACTTCCAAAAGGAAAGCAACTGTAGTGAAACAATATCAGAATCAGAACAGCTACAGACTTTGTTGCTGTACAAAAGCTCAGTTGGAATTTGTTTAATGACAACAACTTTACGTACCAATTAAAAAAAAAATCCCAGAACACACCAATAAAAAGTATTGTCAACTACTAACATAAAAGCAAGTTCTAATCAAAGTGCTAAAAGCTGAAACAAATGCACAGTAGTACTTTCTTACCATCAGAAACCTTAAATAAATGAGAAATTTCAATGGGACACACTCCGTGTGCCAGAAGGAGTAGAAGAGGCACAGTTTACTAGCCTAATTTAAAAACTTGGCATGGGTCATGGCAGACATTACAATACCTACATTCAAGCTCAGAAACCTTACAAATTACACAAGAACTCCAGCACAAAACCTTCTGAAGTTCAGAGGAAGAAAAAGGTGAATGACCTGTCAGAATACACAAAAGACTTCTTGTGAACTCAAGCTCATCATCAGATGCACTGGTTGTGCTCATACTGTTACTTTTCAATGAATTAATTGAAAACTGACAACATTCTGCTTAGATTTAAAAACTCAGAAAACATTAATGTCCTTATTTATTA